CGTGCATGGTTGCTCAATGAACTTTCGGATCAAGAGTCCAGGAGCGATCATGGCGAGCTCTAATGGCGAATCGAAGTCAAACTTTCTGCGTGTAGAACGAATCTTTCTCCAGTTATGCGATCTGACTGAAGAGCAGCGGGAAATCAACATCGATGAACTCTGCGATCACGATCCAGAGTTGATCGCCCAAGTGAGATCCATGCTGCGAGCGGATCGTGATACCAGTCCTGTGCTCGATCCCGAACGCCTGTCCATCGACAAAGTTTCGGGAGACACCATCCCCGAATCGATCGGCAAGTTCGTAATCCAAGGCGTGCTCGGTGAGGGAGGGATGGGAATCGTGTACGAAGCGATCCAAAAATCTCCTAAGCGCAAGGTTGCTCTCAAGGTCATCAGGGAACGGTCACTGCACGCGAAGATTATCAAACGATTCCAGAGCGAAGCGGACATCCTCGCGAAACTCAATCATCCCGGGATCGCGACAATCTATGAATCCGGAGTCGCACAATCAGATCATGGCGATATCCCGTATGTCGCGATCGAGTTGGTCGATGGTGAATCGATCAATAGATTTGCGGAGAATCAACGATTGGGGATCGATGAGCGTGTTAAGCTCTTGGTTGAAGTCTGCCGAGCGGTGGGGCATGCTCATGTGTTGGGCATCGTCCATCGTGATCTGAAACCAGGCAATATTCTGGTGGATGTCGACGGGCATCCCAAGGTGCTTGACTTTGGGATCGCGATCGACACACAGCTGGATCATCGGACACAGATCACCCAGACTGGGCAACTGCTCGGAACATTGCAATACATGGCGCCGGAGCAGGTTGACCGCGCTGAACAGACTGAGCAATGTGCGCAGACTGATGTGTACGCCTTGGGTCTCATTGGGTTTGAACTGTTGTCGGGACATCACCCGATCGGGAGTGAAGGATCGAGTTTGTACGAGATGATCCGTGCGATCCGTGAAGACGAACCCAAGTCGCTCGGGACATACGACCGCTCACTGCGTGGTGATCTTGAAATCATATTCTCCAAGGCACTCTCTCATGAGATCGATCGGCGATATCAGGACGCAAGCGCCTTCGCGGACGATCTCGATCGTTATTTGATGCGGCAACCAATCCAAGCTCGCCGATTGAGTAGTTGGTATCAACTCCGGAAGTTCACGCAGCGAAACCCGATGCTCGCTGGGTCATTCGTGGCTTTGATCATGGTGCTCGTTTCTGCGTTGGTTGTTATCAGCTTTGCATTGAATCAGGCGACCAGGGGGCGTCAGCTTGCGCAGCAGGAGCAACGGTCACAGCAGCTGATCAGTGAGTTTTTGACGGATGATTTGTTTGCGACAGGAGATCCAAACTTCGGGGGTGATGCAGATATTTCCTTGGTAGCAGCGATGCGAGAATCATCCGAGTCAATCTCAGAGCGGTTCCGAGATGCTCCAGAAGCAGAAGCACGGATCAGATTCACCATGGGGGATCAGTTCAGGGTGATGAACGACTACGACCAGGCGATCACGCATCTGAGCCGCTGTGTCGAGCTGAGTGAGTCGATTGATATCCCGATCGATGATCTGATTCAGCGACGCAACTCGCTCTCTGATGTCTATATGGATATTGATGATCTCGATACGGCACTCGTGCTTGTGCTCAAGACCAATGCACTCGCTGAGTCAAGTGATGAAGTGTCACCTGAAGTCATGATCGACACGCTCGTTCAACACGCGAGTCTGCTTTATCACATGCGAGATCGCGAAGGTGCGGCTCCGATCTTTGAGCGAGCCGTGGAGATTGGTCGGGTCCAAGCACCGGGCTATCAGGGGACGATCGATGCAATTTCAGCACTCGCAATTGTGTACACAAGACTGGAACGCTATGAAGAATCAATCAATCTTCATCATGAAGGAATTGAGCTCCGTTCAAATACACTGGGACCTGAAAATCCAGCTACTTTGACGGCCAGAGATAATCTAGGGATGCTTCATGCTCAGCGCGGGGAATTTTCAGTTGCAGAAGAGATGTTCGAGAGTGTGCTCAAAGATCGACTACGCGTCTTTGGCGATGATCATGTCAAGACACATCTGACACGCGGAACGCTTGGTCGAGCGATCTATCGACAAGGAGACTTTGAGCGAGCCGAGCCGATGATCTTGAAATCGCTCACTGGACTGCGTGAAGTTCTTGGTGAAGAACATCGGTATGCCTTAGCCATCCAAAACTACGCCAACGAAATGTACACGATGTGGGAAAAGCCAGATCTAGCAGCGTTGTACGAACATCCGATTGCGAATTCAGACGATAACTAAATCAGGATCCGGCGGATTGAACCATTGATCATCTGATATAGTTGCGGCATGTTGAAAGTACAAATCACTCGACTCTCGATCGCCTTACTCTGCCTCTTTACAGTACCAGTTCTTGCTGGTGAGCGACCAACACTTGAACTGATTACCGCCGAGCAGGATTGGATCGCGCGGTCTCCTACAAGTGCTCGTTGGTTGATCGACGGGAGATCAGTCCGCTACTCTCAGCGACGGTCCGGCGAAGCAGCGCGTGGATTTACTGATTCATACATCATTGTTACGAGCAATCTGAGTCGGGATCATGTGATGATTACGCCAGAAAACCCAGGGCCCTTCTATCTGGATTCGGGAGATTGGAGCCGAGATTCGTCGAGTTCTATCTTCGTGCACAGCGGCGATCTGTATTTACTCAGCAGCAATGAATCGCAGGTCAAACAACTGACGCGAACGACGACTCGCGAATCCAATGTATTCTTCCTCGCGGATGAGGAACGCTATGGGTTTTATCGCGATGGGAGTTGGATGATCCGCGGACTTGGCGATTCTTTTGAAACACAAGCCGCGGATGTACGCTTTGAGGATAAGCCGGATGATGAGAAAGATGAGGATGATCGTTCCTTTCTGGAGCAGCAGCAGCGAGATTTGCTAGAGATTATTCGGCTCGAAGATGAACGCAAGGACATCCGTGAATCGGATACCAAAGCGTGGCGTGATACCAACCCCGACGCGGTCGCGGGGCCGTTCTATCTTGGGAAGGATCGACGCTACCAGTGGTCGTGGTTGAGTCCTTCGGGTACGCACCTGTTTATGGTCACTTCGCCATCGGATCGTCAAGAGAGCAAGCGTGATCAGATGCCGGACTATATCAACGAGGACGGCTATGTCTCATCGCATAGTGTTCGTGCCAAGGTCGGGACTTTCAAGGAAACGCCTCATGAGCTTGCACTGCTGGACCTGGTCAATGAGCGGGTGATCGACTTATCGTTGAATGCACTCCCGTTGATTCACGACGATCCGTTGCAATGGTTGAAAGATGAGCAAGCAGCAAAGCAGGCGAAGGAAGTGGAAGAAGCTGGTTCGGGAGAGGGTATCGAAGAAGCTGTGGATGAGAGCAAGGAAGTTGAAGAACTCGCCGACGAAAAAGAAACGAAAGGTGATTCTGAAAAAAAGGCACGCCCGGTCTCTCACTGGAATACGCGATGGAATGATTCCGGAAGCCTCGCAGCAACCATGCTGATGTCGCATGACAACAAAGACCGCTGGATCGCGATTGTTGATACAACAGTTGACGATCCTGAACTCATACCGATTCATCATCTTCGCGATGAAGCATGGATCGGCTGGGACTTCAACAGTTTCGGATTCATCCCAGGCACAGACACGCTGTGGTATGTCTCAGAAGAATCCGGATATGGGCATTTCTATACCGTGGATTGTGCCTTGGTAGGCCAGCTTATACACCCTGAACACATCCAACGCACCAGCGGAACATTCGAGGTTCGTTCAGTCCAAGTCTCACGCGATGGATCGAGTGTTTACATGCTCACCAACCGTACCCATCCTGGAAAGCAAGAACTCGAACGGCTCGATCTTTCCACCAATCAACTGACACAGATCAGTGTGTTGGGTGGAACAGTAGAATCGTATCAACTCTCACCCGATCAGACGCAAGCGGTGATTCGCTACTCGAACATCAATACGCCTCCGGAGTTGTACCTGGTTGAGCTCGAAGCCTTTGCCACGGCAAGGCGATTAACACACACAATCACTGATCGGTTCCTCGAGGTTGAACTGCAGACGCCTGAGATTGTGCCGATCCCATCGTCGAATACCGAGCTTCCGATCTATACACGCGTGTATCTGCCGGATGATGATGTGCATACAGGACCACGCCCTTTGGTGGTCTTCTCGCATGGTGCGGGATATCTTCAGCACGCGAACTATGAGTGGTCGTATTACAGCCGAGAGCACATGTATCACACCATGCTCACGAATCTGGGATTCATCGTTGTGTCTCCGGACTTCCGTGCTTCTGCAGGGTACGGGCGTGACTGGCGCACGGCGATCTATCGCAATATGGGGTACCCCGAACTCGAAGACTTTCAGGATTGCATTGATTGGGCCGTGGAACATCACAACGCGGATCCATCGCGTGTTGGGATCTACGGTGGCTCCTATGGCGGATTCATGACACTCATGGCGATGTTCATTGAACCTGACACTTACAAAGCGGGGGCGGCGCTCCGGTCTGTGACTGACTGGGCGCACTACAACCACGGCTACACATCGAATATTTTGAATACACCTGAGCTTGATCCAGAGTCGTTCAAACGATCGTCACCGATCTACCATGCCGAGGGACTTGAGGGGCATCTGCTGATGCTTCACGGCATGCAGGATGACAATGTGGTCGCACAGGACATCATCCGGCTCAGTCAGCGGCTCATCGAACTGGAGAAAGAGAACTGGGAGTTGGCGCTCGCGCCGATTGAGCCTCATGGGTACAAGGAACGCTCAAGCTGGCTCGATCAAATGCGTCGGATTCATAAGCTCTTTATGGCGCAGCTGAGTGATGGGGAATAAAAAATGCCTTGCCCCTGTACGAAAGGCAAGGCGTGTGCAATGCTGTCGCGGCATTGAACAATGAAGAATCAGAGCCCGCGAGCAACGCGCCCACGAGCCCCGGGTTTGGAGCTCTTTATGCTCTACGACGACGCGAGGTCGCGGTCAGGCCTGCGAGTGCGAACACACCCAGTGCGCCTGGAGTTGGAACGAGGACGGATTCGACATATTCGATTGCTTCGTCATGAATTTCCTCATCCAGACCAGCATTGAACACCGTGAAGATTACATCGGAGTCCGCAGCACCACTCAGAGAGAAGGTGTTTGCGAGCAGGTAGATTCCTGCTGGTGCGGAGCTGTCGATTGTGTAATCCATATGCTCATCGAATCCACCAATCTGATCTGCGTCGTAGTTGATCGAGAATCCGGCGACAGGATTGTTGTCAAACGCGGTCATCACACTTGCTGGACCGAATCCGAGTGACATTGCGTCTGCGGCTTGTGAGAAGCTCACTGCCCCGGTTCCATCCCAGTACATCAGTGCCGAGGTGAGCGTAAAGCTGACCTGGGTGTTGTCTGGAAGCGAAGCTTCTTCGATGAAGATGCCCGGCTCGTCTGCGAACCAGTTTGATCCGCTGACTGCCATATCGGCGCCGAAGACACGCTCGCCGAAATCGTTGATGACGCCTTCGTCGTGGTCTCCGATACCAACGGCTACGGTGCTGTCGATGATTGCGAGACCGTAGTCACCGCCTTCGTGCTCGTGATCGTCTCCCGCGAGTGCCATCGAAGCGATGACGCTTGTTGCCAAGATTGCTGAAAGTTTCATATCTTTTCTCCTCAAACAAGGGTCTCCAAACCCGTGAGAAAACTGTTTTGATTTATGGGCATCCGTTTGAGAACGCCGAAAGGAACGCGCTCACATCCAGGAAGTTAAACTGTCCGTCTGGGTTAAAGTCCGCGACTGGATCTTGTGCCGCGAACGCAGAAAGGAAGGCGCTGACATCGAGAAAGTTGAGCGAGCCATCGTTGCTCAAGTCCGCGAGGCATGGAGAACCAATCAGGTTGTCCTCGATCCAAGCGATCGCGTCTTCGATGTCATCCTCGCCGTCACCTTGTCCGAAGACGATGTAAAGCGGATCGGATGCTTCAATGCTTGAACTCTCGGACCAGAGCTCAAGCTCAAGCAGCCAAACGCCATCAATCGCTGGAGGTATCGCGCCGTTGAGTAGGTATTGCATGTGGTGGTGGAAGCTCGCGCTCGCATCAAACGACGCCTGTCCGAACACGACGCCTGGTACCACAACATCGCTCAACGGCGTGAGGATATTCTGACCCGCAGCTCGAACAGTGATCTGCTCGCTTGCGATCGTGTCAAAGTTCATGTTGGTCTCATCCCAGATTCGCGGTGCTCGAAGGATGTTGAAACCGATCGTCATGCCAGGATTCAGAGCGCCGAGTTCTGAGTTGAACCCAGGATCGTTTGTGAAGTTTGGGAACCCTTCAGCGCCCAATACAGCTGCTTTGATAGGTGATGGATAGACCACCTGCCCAAGATCAGGATCCACGGCTCCTACGACAAGCTTTCCATCTTGAACAGCGGGAATGAAATCGGCGCTGTGGACATCGGCAGCAGCGCAAACGGTGCTGGCAACTCCTAAGAGGGTGTTCATCCATATCGCTTTAAAGTGTGTGTTCATTCTCAGTCTCCAATTCAAGGGCGTGCCGATTCAGGTCGGCTCGCTTCGGGGTGGAACAGGTTGTGTTGGGTGTCGAGATACATGTCTTCAAACGAGAGTGTGCGGACAGACCCGTCAAAGAACGCAACATTGCTCTGTGCATCGCTGCTTGTGGGTTCGCCGCCGTGTGCGTTGAGCCAGATCTGTGAACTCGCGTACGTAGCGCTTGCTGTAGGGCTCACAAATGAGAAGTCCCACTCATCTGGGTGGACATGATCCGACTTTGCAAACTCAGCAACGGAATCGTTTGGTTCTCCGAAGAGTCGAGCGATCGGGGTCATCATCACAAGATGCACTGTTTGTGATGTGCGTGGTATTTTGGTGATTTTTGAGTACGCAGTCCGCTGATCAAGTCGACGGCCTGTCACTGGATCGGGATTCAGGAACGGGGAGACACTCTGTGCTGTGTATCCGTTCAATCCATAGCTGGTCAAGCGAACAATGTCAGGCTGCTCAGGATCGTTGCTGAAGTCGTCATCGGTGAGAAGATCCTCGTTACGTTCGAACCATCCACGAAGCTCGTACAGGGTCGCGCCCTCATCGCTGCCACCATCGTCCACGCTCCTCCAGATAGAGCGGTCGACCGGTGAGTACAGCGACTCTGGTGCGGCACCGTACTCTTGGAGTGAGATCAGCCAAGTCTTTCTGATGTCTCCAGCGAGGGAGCCGTGGGGGAGTGCGGCATCGATGAACTTGCCTTTATTGTCTTCGTAGTACATCTGGTGAGCGAGTTCGAGCTGACGCATGTTGGACTGACAGACAACGCGCTGTGCTGAAGCGCGAGCACCACTGAGGGATGGGAGCAGAATGCCGATGAGCAGTGCGATGATCGCGATGACGACCAACAGCTCGATCAGTGTGAACGCTCGAGCGCGTCCATACTTTGTGTATGTGGACATTGAGTGTGTTTCTGTCTGTGGTCCGAGCGCATGGATGCACCCTGGACGAATCGTGCTTTAGTCAAGGGGGGCAGCAGATTCAGCAGACAGGTGGGGCGCGAGCGGGATGGTCTCTAGAAGACTTTGAGATGTGCGCGGCGAACTCAGAGCCGACCGCATCAGTCATTGGAGTTGAAAACTCGACGACTACAGGAGTATTGAAGTCAGAAAACAGTTGAAGACCAGACAGTCCCAAGCAGATGGAGCAATCTTCGTCTGAAGGATCTGGGTTCGGTTGTTCATCTTCGTCTGGACTCGAATCAGCGGGATGGTGGCACCCTTGATCAGCATGATCGAGAGACTGGATGGATTGATTGTGCGAGTGAGTCAGCTTGTGTAATGCAACAGTGAACCCACTGCTGTGGAGCAGCATGAGCGTGACTAGGAGCCAAGATGTGAGGCGAAGGAGTCTCAACGCGACCTCATAAACGGGGGTTCGACATAAAATTTATCGGGAAACAAGTCCTAGGTCAAGGAATCTCAGCAATATACGGCTAAATCCATAATCTGTTTCGAAGCGATTATAGGACTCGATGCATTTTATAGCATCTGGCGCTAAGGGTAAGTTGCTCAAAGCCTGTTTCGGCTGGTGCCTACTTGATTGAGCGGATTCAGGAAAATCTGTTGATTGGTTCTTGTTTTGACCCAGATCTACTCGAGCAGGCAGTGGTCACGTATCAAAATCATACATTGGGCTTGGGCAACCAGGAAGTTTTGCACACGTTTCGAATCTGTGGCTTGGGGTTGCTCATTTGCTTCGGCAATCGCGACTTGGATTCAGTTTAGCGAGCAATCCAAATGCGTGAAGCGTGCATTGAATCGTCTGACATAAGCCATGCATATGAACAGAGATGGAATCAGAACTTAAAAGTAGTCATCAACCAGAAGCGCTCGGTGTCGGGCAGAGTGCGGTCGCCGTTGAAGTATGCATACTTCGCGAGCACAGACCAGTTGGCTGAGAGTTTCTTCGACGCGACGACATCGATCTCGTCTCCGAGATCATTGCTGCCTTGGTCAGACCAGAACTGATGGAAAGTCACACTCCCCTTGATCTTCCAAGGGAGGTCGAGTCCCAGTCCGACATACAGGTCCTGCAGACCCACAGCCGGTGTCGTGAGGAAGTTGTCCGCGAAACCTTGGAACTTGTGATTCGTGCCGAGCGGGAATCGGAATGCAAAGATGCCGTTGTCGCTTCCGAGGAACTGGTAACCAACGACAAAGTGCCCAAAGCCCGGCTGGGTGAGCTTCAACTGCGCGGCATAGAAGTCCGCGTCGTAGCTGGTCGCGTTGCGTCCCGAATCAGTCTGGTTGGCGTAGGTCAGCTCATACTCGACGAACATATCTTCAGAGTCTTCAGCATCGTCAGCGAGCTTGCCAGACAAGCGGACGCCGTAGGTGTTGCTTGAGTTGGCGGGAAGATCTGATTTGAAGTCCAGCAAATACGCGAATCCGGTTGCTTTGAACTCAGGAGCAAACTGGTAGGACGCGTTGATGATGTGGGAGTCTGATTCAGGATTCAATCCATCAGGACCAAAGATGCGTTGCACGCCCCAGACGTACGCGTAGAACACACTGAGGTCTTTGACTCCAAGATTGGAGCGGACACTGACTGCGTCGTAGGTTTGCTCGAACTGTCTCCAGCCGACGTTCCCAACAAATCGAGAATCATCGAGAATGATCCGCTGGCGTCCGGCTTTCAGATCAAGCGAGAGGTCAGACCCCTCGATGCTCTTGGGGTTGTATCGAACGTACGCCTGGTTGACCTCAGTCCCGATCGGATCCGCGACGACGGTTCGGGTCGGATCCCCGTCTCCTGTTGCGGGGACGAAGTAGCCGTCGCTATCGAATGTGGAGACATTCTCCATCTCGATGAATCCACTGAACCCCTCGATCGGTTTGCTCTCGTACCCTAAGCGCAAGCGGTTGGTGAACGCTGCAGAAGATCGACGTCCAGTGGTGTCCGCGAGTTCCATCCGCAATCGGTTATCTAGGTGAATCTTTCCCGATACAAGCGCATCAAAGAGATCCGCAGCCGGCTCATCCGGATCGGATAACCATCCGAGCGGGAGCTTCTCCTTCTGAGGAATGGGTGCTTGCTTGTCTGCATCTTTCTCTGGAGCAGGCTCAGCGAGTGCGATTGGTGTGAGTGCTACCAGTAGTGCCGCGCGATAGATATGGTGTCGTAGCATCGATTGCTCCTTGTTGTAGATAAGGAATCAGTCGGCAAGATTCGGTCAGAAATCCAGCGTTCTTCTACTCCATGATCGCTTATTCGGTCCCGGATGGACGCTGGTCAGCCGGGAGTGTCACACCTTGAACAGGTTCGATCGGTAGCTCGTCCGTGCTCGGTGCTTCCGGTGCACGCAAACGCACCGCGAGTGCCTGTGCTTGTCGGCTGTAGTCGATCGACTCTCCGAGGATGCGTACCGCTTCCTGGTCCGCGTGGAATCCGCGTGAGTTCTCGCTGCTGATGTAATCCAGTCTCCACATCGCTTTGCGCTGCAAGTCGTAGATCGGTTTGAGCGATTGTTCCGAAGCGCCCGCGGCTTTCGCTTCAAGGATCGCGTCGAGCATATCGGTCATCGCAACAGCCGCACGATCCATGTGAGCGAGGGTGCGTCCCTGAATGGTCTCGACCTTCTCGCGGAGCGTCGCTTCGTCATCGTTGTGACATTGCTGACACGCGTTGTTGATATTGGCAAGCGGGCTCTGCACATTGTGGCTCGAAAGCTTCATCGCGCCTTCGCGTTGATAAGGCATGTGACAGTCCGCACAGCTCACGCCGCTGCGTGCGTGGATGCCTTGGCTCCAGAGCTCGAACTCTGGGTGCTGGACCTTGAAGATGTCTGCGCCGGTTTCGCCGTGCTTGTAGTCATAAAACGCTGAGCCGTCCGGGAATGTTTTCTCTTCCCAGTGTGCTTCGAGCTGCTCCATTTTGAGCCCCTTGCCCCAAGGGAACTCGAGCGTGTCCTTGGTGGCGCAGTAGTACTCAACGTGGCACTGTCCGCAGACGAACGAGCGCATTTCTTGTCGAGAGCCGTCCTTGTTTGGATCGTAAGGGACTTTCTGATCGCCGCGTCTCCAGCGTTCCACACTCGGGATATGAGGGGTCGGCTCATCGCTCTCAGCGAGGGCCGCCATACCGAGCACGAATCCAGGCCGAGTCACGCGGATGTCCATCGTCTTCGGATCATGACAATCGATACACGACACCGGGTGTGCCTCACCACCTGCAAAGGCAGGATGATCCGCGGGTACTTCTTTCCCTTTGAACTCTCCTGTGAACCCGCCGATCGGAGCTTGGGGGACTGCCGGCACATTCTCACCCGGCGTGCCGTCTGGTGATTGCAAGAGAAGTGCGAGTACCTCGTCATACGGCTTCGTGCTCACTTCCTGGAACCCGCGAATCACCGCTGGCATATTGAAGTCTGACGAAAGCGATTCTTCAGTCACTTCCTGCCCCATCGCCTCCAAGCCAACTCGACGATACATCACAGTGTTCGCGGCATGACAGTGAATACACGCACCCGCTTGAGATTTCTTGGTCACGCGCTCGGTGACGCCTTGGTCATAGAGCATGTACGCGTGTCCGCGAGCTTCACGGTAATCAATGCTGAACGCGTAACCAGCGTAAAGGCGCTTGAGCCAGGGTTGTGAATCGAGCTTGCTGTGTGGCAGTGCGCTTGATCCGCCGTAGAACTTGTCGCCTGAGGTTGCTTTCCATCCATCAAACTGATGTGGCCAGTTTTGTCCCCAAGGTTCCGGGTCAGTGGTCATTTCATCAACTTCAGTCACACGGATGAATGGTGTCCTCGCGGCCTGCTTGTGTCCGAACATCGTCACAAGCACCCATGTCACCACGAGGGTTGCTATCACAGCGACAATGAACACAAGAGCGAGCAGGATCACACGCCCATTTCTTGAACCCCGGAGTCGCTCTCTCAATGTTGCTGGTGTTGTGTTGTTCATTGTGCGTGAGTCCTTTTAAGGGATGGAATGCATGTATCAGTCTCGCCCACCAAAACCGGATTCCCGTCCGGTGTGCCCAACATCGCCGTGACAATGGACGCAGTATTGCATCTCTCCGTTGGGTTCTGATGGGAGCATGTGATCAACGAAGTCATCGTGGCAGTACAAGCACGCCTGCTGTGTGACGCGTCTGTTCCGCTCTTTGATTTGAATAGGTTCGTGGAAGTCGCCAGTCGTAAATGCAAGGGAGTGGAAAAAGCCGTTATCTGCTTTGGTGATCCACTTCCCACCAAAGTCGTGGGGGAGATGGCAGTCGTTACAGGTTGCTACGCCGTGATGGCTTGATTTGGTCCATGTATCGAAGTGGGACTGCATCACATGGCAGTTGGCGCAGGAAGCGGGATCGTTTTTGAGGTATGCCGTGCCTTCGCCGTATCCGAAGGTGAAGGCGCCCAATCCACCCAAAATTCCGAGCGAAGCCGCGCATATCAGAGCTGGAACAATCAGGCTCCGTTTATTCGGAGGGGTTCCGGTTTTGCTCGTCGTGCTGCTCATCTTGCGTCTCACGAATGGGTGTATGGACAGATATTCTAGATATACATATCAGGAAATACAACTTTCAGCGACCGTAAATTACTGTCTTTTCGGAATAATTCCGGTAAGCATCAGCAGGATTTGCGTGCTTATAAAGATCGCGAGCCACATGGAAGCCGAGTCCATAAATCCGTATGCGTGCAGACCGACTCCGAGCATGTTGGTCCCGAACCAACTCCATGCAGTCACAATGTTTCCAGCAACGGCGAGCACGGCGATCCCTCGAGCTCGGACCAATCCACCCCAGCGTGCATGAAGGATGATCGCGTTGATGAGCACCACCAGAGCGGCTCCATTTTCCTTTGGATCCCATCCCCAGAATCGTCCCCAGGATTGGTCGGCCCAGATCCCTCCGAGCACCGTCCCGACGAAGCTCAGCAGCATCGCGAAGCAGACGACGCCGTAGACCATCCGGATCATCGCGCGTTCACGCTCAGGCGTCACAGCTTTGGTGCAGATCCGAGCGATGAGATAGATCATCGCGATCGCGCCAGCGAGGAAGGTCGCGGAGTATCCGAGCGTGATCGTGATGACATGCGTCGCGAGCCAGAAGTTGCTGTCGAGCACGGCTTGCATCATTTGCATCGTGTCGCCGTCGTTTCCGAGGTTGTGCGCGATGATGAGCGTCGAAGTGCCGATCGCGCTCGCACCAAGGACAGCGATGCCGAGTCGGAAGAAACGCTCGATCACAAGTCCCGCGAGTGCGGAGGCCCAACCGACGAAGATCGCAGATGAGTACAGGTTGGTCACTGGAGGTCGATCCTGCAGATAGATCCGCAATCCGATCGCAAGCGTATGCACAAGCACCGCGACAAGCAGGAGCATCCATGAGCTGGATCGCAGTCTTTCCGCAAGCTTCGCGTTGTGAGTTCCGGCGCGTGCTACAAATGAGAAACACACGAAGAGGAACGCGAGGATGTACACGGCGGTCGTCGTGGTAAACAAGGACGCACGATTGAACCAGACCTCCAGACGCATCTTCCGCATCACGTCAGGCATCGAATCTTCGAGGAGTGTGTAGTACGAATCCACGGAATCTGAAAAGCCCTCAGCATCTCCCACATTGACAGCGTTCATGATTGATGTGAGGTACGCCACGCTCGGATGAGGGGTTTCGGATCCTTGATCGTCAAGAAACGCGTCGTGAAACGGCTGCCATTGCCCTTCCGCAGACAGTGGGGGGATCGCATACGGCTGACGCATCTGTGCGTACGAAAGCACACGATTGACACGATCATGGAGCTGGATGATCGCGCGTTGGAATCCATCGCGTTCCTTGGGATCGATGCCGTGCGCCTGACTTGCTTGTTGTGTGATCGCTGACCAGTGCGGCTCGATCGCATCCAGTGGGTGTCTTCCGCTCTGCGAAGGGTCTTTGTCGATCATCGCGAGCACATCGGGATGATCGATCCGCACGAGCGGCAGACCTCTGATCTGATCGGGATTCGCGATCAGGTCGATCATAAATCGGACAGCAGAGATTCGCCCCTCGTCTGATGTTGTCGATTGCTTGCCTCCAGCGACCATCATCATGGATCGTGCCGCGGTATCGATCGGTTTGATGCGTCCTCCTGAGGAGACCGGAAGCTCAGCAAACCGCTGCGTATCAAGATCACTCAGGGGCTGTGGTCTGAGCGTAGAACTCAGCGCGACCATCATTCCGATCCCGAACACCACAAACGGCAAAGCGACATCGAGCTTTCCTTTGGGAGTTGGTGAAGCACCCATCAGGATCGGGCCATCCCGCAATCGACGGCGCATGAATCCGATCATGGTCTGCAGGAAGTGATAGGTCATCCCGACGCTGACGAGGATGCACGCGAGGTAGGGCATGAGCCAGCCCGGATTCCGGACGACCTGCAGCACCGTCCCGCTGCCGTCTGGTTTGTATGACGCTTGATAGAATGTGCGTCCGGCGTATCTGAGCGGGTTATTCATCCAGATCCGCACCTCGCGATCAGTGCCGTTCGTCGGATCGATGATCCGCACATCGCTCGAGAAGTTCTTCGCGATCGAAGTGCCCGTGAAAATGTCGTGGCTGAAATCGTTGAGATGGATCTCATAGGGGAGGTAGGTCCGCTTGTACCGCAGAGCTATCCCATACACCTTTGTGTCGTGCTCCACCCTTTGTAGATCGGTGAGCATGGACGAGAGCATCCACGTCCCGATCGGTCTGTCATCGTCCAAGAGGGTCACGTATACCGCGGGAGCGTCTGATTTGTTCGCTTCGACGCCGGACACCTGCGGGATTTCCTCAGCGCGTGCTTCGAGACCGATGCCATCGGTCGCTGGATTCTGTGAGTTGCTAGGATCTGCTCGGAACAGCTGCGCGTTGGGCATCCACTGCTGGACTCGGATCGTAAAGGGGAGCTGGTCATCCCTGAGGATTTGGTCAGATCGTGCCGCACGCACGATCATGCTCATCGGGACAGAGATCACCCGATCGTGCTCGTCGTGACTTGGATCGACGACCGCGATCTCCACCTCGCGGATATCTTCAAGGAACGAGGACCGCTGTCCCTCATCGATCGACATCATCCCCTCGTCTGCGAAGAACCCTGTTACGAACTCTCCGAGCAGCAGCACGATGAGTCCCGCGTGGAGCACAAGGATCCCGATACGCTTG